GAAAAAAGAGTATTTGAAGGATGAGTTATTGATTCCTGGGTCTTAGTGGGTGAAGAAGAATAGGGGGATGATGATGAAGGAGAATGTGGAATTACTCTATTAGATCTAAATATCACATGCAATAAATTACAGTCATGTGTCATGTATAAACAAATTACAGCCATGTGACAAATAAGCACATTCACTATCAACAAATTACAGTCAAATATCACATACAACACTCAAATGTCACGTATAAACAACAAATGTCACAAACAACACCCAAATATCACAAATTACAGCCAAATGTCACATACAACACCCAAATATCACGTATAAATAGCAAATGTCACAAGCAACACCCAAATATCACAAATTACAACCAAATATCGCATACAACACCCAAATATCACGTATAAACAACAAATATCACAAGCAACACACAAATATCACATACAACACCCAAATATTACATACAACACCTAAATATCACAAATCAGATCTAAATATCATATATAAGGTAGAATTGTGATATTTGGGTGTTGTTTGTGACATTTGTTGTTTATACGTGACATTTGAGTGTTGTATGTGATATTTGACTGTAATTTGTTGATAGTGAATGTGCTTATTTGTCACATGGCTGTAATTTGTTTATACATGACACATGACTGTAATTTATTGCATGTGATATTTAGATCTAATAGAGTAATTCCACATTCTCCTTCATCATCATCCCCCTATTCTTCTTTACCCACTAAGACCCAGGAATCAATAACTCATCCTTCAAATACTCTGACACTCCTCTTCACCTTCAACTCAAACTCTCCCTTTTCACCATTCCACCCCTGCAATCGCGTGCAAAATCCCCGGCAGATTGTGTCAAAATACTCCGACACTCCTCTTCACTGTATCATATGTCACACAGAACACCAAAATATCACATAATAGTAGCATATGTCACATAACAACCATAATTTTGAGCTTTGAATTAATAGAGTAATAAAACTTTTTCGCACTTCGATCTAAATAAATTTACATCAATACTTAGTACCCAAACATAGATAAACATGCCAAAGATAAACCAAATCAAATCCAATTATTCAAACACCTCCAAAATATTTGTAGGACAATCCACTTTTAGACCTTCCCCGCTTCCCAATAGCAGAAATAGAAGAAGAATAATCAACACCAGGTTTCAATTTCAAATCACCACATTATAGTTACATGTGTTTGTCTAATACTTCCACTCAATCAATGGTGCATTATTACCCCCAAGTACAAAAGGTACTCTGGCGGAGGATGTGAAATGACTCTATTAGATCTAATATCACATTCATTATCAACAAATTACAGCCAAATATCACATACAACACCCAAATATCACGTATAAAAATCAAATGTCACAAGCAACACCCAAAAATCACAAATTATAGCCAAATATCACATGAAACACCCAAATATCACGTATAAATAGTAAATGTCACAAGCAACACACAAAAATCATATACAACACCCAAATATCACATACAACACCCAAATATCACGTATAAATAACAAATGTCACAAGCAAGACCCAAATATCATATACAACACCCAAATGTCACATACAACACCCAAATATCACATACAACAACCAAATATCACATACAACACCAAAATGTCCCGTATAAACAACATATGTCACATAAAAACAATATATGTGACATGAAACAGTCACATGTCACATGAAACTATCATATGTTACATAAGCAAGTTGACTTTTATAAAAGGACATCTGGAGCAATTCTAAGATGGCTTGTCACATGAAGGACAAACAAAATTTTATAGTAAAATTAAACAAGTTGACTTCCATTTCCTTATCAAATTTTACAAACCGATGAACTCTGTTAACCGTTCAAAAGACACATTTGTACAAAACCAACTATACTAATAACCACATTGGAAGAGATTCCATCAAAGTTTCTCAACCAATGTGACAAATTTTGACACAATCTGCCGGGGATTTTGCACGCGATTGCAGGGGTGGAATGGTGAAAAGGGAGAGTTTGAGTTGAAGGTGAAGAGGAGTGTCAGAGTATTTGAAGGATGAGTTATTGATTCCTGGGTCTTAGTGGGTAAAGAAGAATAGGGGGATGATGATGAAGGAGAGTGTGGAATTACTCTATTAGATCTAAATATCACATGCAATAAATTACAGTCATGTGTCATGTATAAACAAATTACAGCCATGTGACAAATAAGCACATTCACTATCAACAAATTACAGTCAAATATCACATACAACACTCAAATGTCACGTATAAACAACAAATGTCACAAACAACACCCAAATATCACAAATTACAGCCAAATATCACATACAACACCCAAATATCACGTATAAATAGCAAATGTCACAAGCAACACCCAAATATCACAAATTACAACCAAATATCCATACAACACCCAAATATCATGTATAAACAACAAATATCACAAGCAACACACAAATATCACATACAACACCCAAATGTCACGTATAAACAACAAATATCGCAAGCAACACCCAGATATCACAAATTACGGCCAAATATCCATACAACACCCAAATATCATGTATAAACAACAAATATCACAAGCAACACACAAATATCACATACAACACCCAAATGTCACGTATAAACAATAAATATCACAAGCAACACCCAAATATCACATACAACACTCAAATATTACATACAACAGCAAAATGTCACGTATAAACAACAAATGTCACATAAAACAACATATGTGACATAAAACCGTTATATGTCACATGAAACCAGCATATGTCACATAAGCAAGTTGACTTCCATAAAAGGACATCTGGAGCAATTCTAAGATGGCTTGTCATACTTCACAAAGCAAGGGTTTTTCGTTAATTCCTCTCCCATCAAGGCTTGTTGACTAACTTCTAACACCTGAAATTTAAAAAAATTTAACATCAAACTTCATTATTCATTAACACAACCAAAGTATGATTCATATAGACGGGGCAAAGCATTTATACCTGATGCAAGATCATGGGTTTGTTCATAAAATCAACGAGCGGCTTTGGAACGTTGAGCGTCAACGGCCTCAAACGGGTTCCAAATCCTCCAACAAGAATGAGTGCCTTCAATGTTACAAATTTTTCTTCTCTTACTGCTGACCAAATAACAACAATCAGAACTCGTAAAATTTGCAGAATTGACCTAGACTAAATTGCCAAATACCTATAACACGAAACAATAAATAAATATTTAAGAAAACAAGAGCAAGAGAAGTATGAGTCCCAAATCAATATCTTGCAATTGGGGAAAACTATTGACTAACAGTAATTGGATAAAATTACAGATAAAGTTCATTTCTTTTTAACCCAGAAAATAATCCTCAGTGGTTAAAGTGACATTACACTAGATCCTCTATTTTTATAATGAATAATTCACCATAATTCCATGAAATGCTCGGACCCAGTGAAGACTTCTTCAATTCCTAGTTTTACATCAAAATTCTTTAGCAAAGAAACAAAATTTTCCATTGGATCTGGCCGTAAAACACAAAATTGATTATTTTTCGCAGAAAGAAATTTAGCAATCTTATAAATTTCACAGCAAAATAAACCCTAGGTAATCAAGAAAGAACCAAAAGCTAACAGCTACGACTAGAACCAAACAAATTCCAATTAATCAAGAAACCCCCCATCAAGCATCCAAATTATCCTAACCAAACAACAAAATTCATTCAAAAGTTCAACGGAATGGATAAAAGGGTGCTCCCAGATCCGTCCCGCATTGCTCAAGATCCTCAACCCAGAATCATAGACGGAGAAGAAAAGCTAAATCAATGGAGAAATGAGAGGAGGTCGAATTGTACCCCTGGGAGTTTTATCGGATTCGGGTCGGAGAGCGCGAACTCCGCTTGAGATCCGATCTCTCGCCCGCTGAAGAAAAATGAGAAGATCGAGGAGTCGTTGGCAATGACACGGTGGCGTAGGGGTGGAGGCGTCGGCGGTGGTGGGGGAGGGGGAGGTCTTGGGCCAGATTGAGGAGGAAAGTAATGGGTTTTAACTTGGGAAGAAGGGTAATTTGGGAATTGGATTTCTTGGGCAGTGAGTTTGGGGTGTAAAAGCATGAAAACTTGGGTCAAGGTGCCCCCAAGTGGTTGACTCTAGTTGGAGGGTGGGGATGCATAACCCAATTTTATTTGGTTCCTCCAAGCAATTTTCCCTAATTAAAGGTCAATTTCACAAAACCCCCTTGAACTTCGTGGGTGTTGCACATAACCCCAGCTGAACTTTGTTTATCTCACTTACCCCCGCTGAACTATGGGTTCTCACAAAACCCCTAAAACTTTACATTATCTCACATAGCCCCCCGCCTGTAATTTTGCAAATAGCTAAAATTTTCTTGAAAGAAAAACTCATTTTTTTTTTTTTTTGGGGGGGGGGGGGGGGGGGTGGAGTATGTTGCCTACAAACGACAAGTAATAAAGTATGAGATTTTGTTCACTCAAAAAATATTTTAGTTATTGGAAATTTACATGAAAGCGGGATACGTGAGACGAGATAAATTTCAGGGATTCAGTGGGGTTTTGTGAGACACCCCATAGTTTAGGAAGGATATGTGAGATAAAACAAAGTTCAAGGATGCTATATGCAAGAATCCCCAAAATTCAGGGAGGTTTCGTGCAATCAACCCTAAAATTCGAACTTTTCACAACGTGATCATTTGATTCATAACTAAAATTGTAACTTTTCACAAACTTACTGAGATCATAATCTATTTTATCTATGGAAACCTGATCCGTGATTTGTTGTTTTCTTTTACATCTGCGTAGAACCACCAACATCAAAAAGGACAATCAACGGAGGCAAAAGCAATATACATCCGGACAAGGAAAAACAAAACAAGGAAAACTTCACTATGAATTATGATTGAGAACAAAAAAACTTGTATCCCTGTTGTTGGTAAGTGCAAACATAACAAATTAATATCATTATGCAGCAAGAATACAAACAGAAATGAATTGAAGATCCAACAAGACCACTATTTAAAATAATAACAAAATAAAATAAAAAAGAAGAATAAGAAGAAGGATGCATCCAAGCCGAAAGCATACGCGGGATGCCACAGAAACTACAACACAAGTCTAATGGAGGAGGAACCTCCAATTTCATTCCGAGTCAAACGACAAAATAAAACCATTTTAAGATTTCACAACATGGTATTCATCCTTTCTACTGTTTAATTAAACCCCCTGCTATTCCTACACAAAAAAAAAACACTGCTCATATTAATAGTTCATTTCCTCTTCTTAGAGGCTGGCTGAGGAATCTCTTCATCTTCCTCTTCTTCCTCGTCATCATCCCCCTCTTCATCATCGTCGTCGTCATCCTCATCATCATCTTCGTCATCCTCATCATCATCATCATCACTTCCCTCTTCACCATTTGCCTCGGGATCATCATCGTCTTCTTCCCCTTCATCATTGTTCCCGTCATCGTCCGAATCATCATCAACATCTTGGTCATCTTCAGCATCATCCTCCTCATCACCATCATCATCCTCCGAGTCACCAGCATCCTTGTTCTCAGGTTCAGCTTTGTTCTTCCCCATGACAACTACAGGCAACCTTCATAGAAACAAGATGTGGAATCAAAACTAGCAGTTTAACTTGGTTTGCTATGAATTGCGCTAGAAGAGGAATTTACCCAGTCATGACTTCAGCCTCTGTACCCAATGTATTGGTTTCATGAGACAAGGAGCCCATCTCCGTCTGAAACAAGTCCAACACATAAGTAATACCGAAAACTAAACTTAAAAACGGAACATATAGTTATTAGCATGGCATATTTCTCATATAAAGCGAGATCAAAATCTATAACATGCATGCATAAATCCACCAAACAAATCCAGCCCTACAAATATCCAACATTTCTCTTATGTTCACTAAGCTTCCATAATTTTGAAACAAAAAATCCCCAAATTTCACCATCAAGCTTTCATAAGTCATGATGTATTTCCTAACAAACAAACAAACAAAAACCCAATCTCACATAAAAGTAACCAATTTGTTTGATGGGTGAATGACCTAGGCTTAATTAATTCCCTCCCCGTATCATGAACCAATCACTGAGATACAAGTATAGCTACAGAATCACAGCAAGAGGAACCTTGCTCCAGTGATGTATGTTTATGTTTAATACAGAAGAGAACTACTAAACTTGCTTGACATTTCAATTAAATTTCTTGTGTTTGAACCATTCATCACAAAGATTTATCCAACTGTAATAAACCTGATATTACTCCCTATTAACAATGAGTATTCTACTGGGCATACTAACCACTGAAAGATCATTAACAGATTATACACTAAATAAGTGAAAAAGGACTGAAACATACACTTGCCCAAGTAACTTATCATTAGTTCTTCAACATTGATAAAGTGATACCAAATAATTGTTGTGTGCAGCGGAAATTCTGACAACACTTCTAGCGCACAACAAGAGAGTAAGATCCCACTAAATTCCTGTTTCACAAAGGAAACAAGAATCGACAGTGGTATATCTCAACAAAGTGGGATATACACTCTTCCTCTCATCAGTTCTAGGACCGACTTGTCGAGGGAACCTAACAAGCTATATCAAATCACAAAACAAGACAAACTATTTTTACGTGGTTCGGCAAGTTGCATACGTTCACGAGGCAAGGTGGGGGGAGATCTACTATTAGAGAGAAAGAGAATATAAATATGACGTACAAGCACACAAGGTCTCACAAATAAAACCCTCAAACAATCTCTCAAAACAAAACAAAAAATTGCTTTTCTTCTCAAAAGGACAGCCTCCAAAAATAATTTCCTCTGCTTTCTCCCATTGCTACAGCCGAAATCTATCTGCAGTTTTTTCCCTCTTTTGCACGCAACCGAAAAATTTTCTCTTCGTTTTTCCCTTTGCACGCCTACCCTAGGAACTACTACAAAAGATATATATATATAGCATATCAATATCGGATGGGCCCGTAATTGTCCGCTTTGCCTCCAACTCGTGGTCCCCACGCGCTTAGCCTCCTACGCGGAAACGAAAACCGCGTCTTGCGTCTTGCTGCTAAACGTGGGTGTGGCCACCACGCCCCACGTTTACAATTCTCCACCTCGGAAAAGTTTTCTCAAAACTGAGCCGACACCAAAGCATCCAAATGTCCCACTTGTTGTGTCCAATACATCGTGAAGTTAATTCATAACAACGGACTCAATCCACAACAAGTCGAGAACCCGAACGAGAGTCCAAACAATCTTCCCCTATCAAAACCAACTAATCTAACCGGCTGCATCGTAAAGACTGCTTACGTATCCTCTTATCCAAGGAATCAAGCCTCACGTAATTCACCCAAATAACCTCCAAAGACCTCAACATCGAAGAATGTTTAAAAGTTTCAAACAATGACCAAACATCTGAAACAACTTTGGTCAACATATCTACAGGGTTGTCCTTTGTGTGGATCTTCTCCAATATGACATCACCGTCATCCAAAATATCATGAACAAAATAAAATCTGACATCAATGTGCTTCATACGCGCATGATAAGCCTGATTCTTTGTCAGATAGATAACCGACATGCTATCACAATACACCCGAATGGTCTCCTGTGCAATCCCCAAATCCTCCAACAATCCACACAACCACAAAACCTCCTTCACAGCTTCAGTCACTGCCACACACTCTGCCTCTGTAGTAGAGAGAACCATTGTAGACTGAAGTATACATCTCCAACATATCGATGCTCCTGTCAATGTGAACACATATCCTAAAATAGACCGACGCTTGTCAAGATCCCCCGCATAATCCGAATCCACATAGCCAATACAATCCTGCTCTGTCTTCTCATTCTTCTGAAATACCAAACTACATCCACAGTATCTTTGATATACCGTAAAATCCACTTCACGACATCCGAATGACCCTTCCCGGGATCGTGCATGTACCTAGATACCATGCTCACGACCTGTGACAAATCTAACCTCGTACACACCATAGCATGCATCAAACTACCCAACGCACTGGCATATGGAACATTCGACATATATTCTCTGTCCTCAACTGAAACAGGAGACATCTTAGCTGGAAGCTTAAAGTGGGGAGCCAATGGAATACTCACTACCTTTGTATTTTTATCAAAACTGAATTTCTTCAACATCTTTTGCAGATAACTCCTCTGTGTAAGCTTCAATCTCCCCTTCGCCCTGTCTCTCTCGATCTCCATACCCAAATCTTCTTCGTCTCTCCAAGATCCTTCATCTCAAACTCGGATGACAGCTCCTTGTTTAACTTTCGAATAGCCGAAGAATTCCTAAAGACAATAAGCATATCATCAATATATAGTAACAAATAGATGTACTCACCATCTTGTAGCTAGTGCATATAAACATATGGATCATATGCGCTCCTCTTGTACCATCGGCCAATCATAAAACCGTCGAATCTCTTGTATCATTGTTACAGCGATTGCTTCAATCCGTAAAGAGACTTCTTCAGCTTGCACACCAATTCTTCCTTTCCTGCAGCTTTGAACCACATAGATTATGTCATGTAAATCTCCTCTTCTAAATCTCAATATAGAAAGGTTGTCTTCACATCCATCTGGACCAAATTCAAATTTAGTTATGCCACCAATGACAACAGAATCCTAATCAACGAATGCTTTACAACAGGTGAGAATACCTCGTTGTAATCAACGCCCTCAAGTTGTGCATAACCCCTTAGCAATCAATCCAACTTTATACTGAATGTCCCCACTAGAAGATCCTTCTTTCTCTGCTTAATTGTCAACGTAGGGCGTGGGGGCCACACCCATGTTCAGCAACAAGACGTAAGACGCGGTTTTCGTTTCCGCATGGGAGGCTAAGCACGTGAGGGCCATGAGATGGAGGCAAAGCGGACAATTACAGGCCCACCCGATATGTGCAAAAGAGGGAAAAAACTGCAGATAGTTTTCGGCTGTAGCAAGGGGAGAAAGCAGAGAAAAAAAGGTCTTGGAGGTTGTCCTTTTGATAAGAAAAGTAAGTTTTTTTTTTTGTTTTGAGAGATTGTTTGAGGGTTTTATTTGTTAGACCTTGTGTGATTGTAAACCCTATTTGTATTCTCTTTCTCTTTAATAGTAGATCTCCCCCCTCCTTACCCCGTGGACGTAGGCAACTTGCCGAACCACGTAAAAATAGATTGTCTTGCTGTAATTTGTAATAGCTTGTTAGGTTCCCTCGATAAGTCAGTCCTAGAACAATAGTGTATATCCAACTTTGTTGAGATATATCACTGTCGATTCTTGTTTCCTTTGTGAAACAAGAATTTAGTTGGGATCTTACTCTCTTGTTGTGCATCAAAAGTACTTTCGAAATTTTCGCTGCGCACAACAATAATGTTGTTCATATTAGTTACCATTACCAATTTTATCACTGAATTCACCTTGCGAATGTAAAAAAAACCGAAAATCAAATAATGCTTATGCTAATCATAATTTATTCACTTCTATGTATAGATTACATAGAGACAAATGCCTTTTTCTTTTCTCAAGCAGGCATCAGCTATATGCATATGACCAAATGTTATAGTACAATTCATTATAATTGCGCTAATATTGCTAATAGCACCCCTAACAATCAAAATTTTCCCTCCATAATTCTATTTACTTTTTCCTATTCTAAGAAATTATTAAAAATTATATATTTTTATTGTTCAAGTCACTTGCAGAGCAAGCATACGAACCTGTATGCAACTACTACGAAGATGAAAAAATTTACTATAGTGAAAAAAAGATGGTGATTCTTGTGGTTTAAAAAATCCACAGATGAAGTAAAAGCCAAAACATATGGGAATTAAGAACCATCAGGAAAAACTCGATAACCAGGGTGGTCACATGTGAAAGTGACCAATAGTCTAGTTTACACAAGAACAAAAACTAGGTACCTGACAAACGACCTTCTATTAGAAATCCTCTAGTTACTGTTTCATATTATCTAAAAATTAACTTGCCCAGTTAGTTCGTCATTGTCATGCTAGGATTACTGACTAAAATAGACTCATATAGTAATGATGATTTTAAAATAAAGCTCTTCACTAAAGGAAAAGAGAACTAGTATAGCATAATTTAAACTTCAAATCATATAACTTAAAATATAAAAAAAAAACATGTATAACACCCTATGAATCTAGAGATGCATATCTCGTGATGAAAAGCCTAGTATTTTAAATTCTAATGCATATACTAGTAAACACAATGAACCAGCAAATTCCAAAATATTGTCGGCATGCAACATTAATAATAATACATTAATAAACCTCGAAGATAAATCATATTAGCACGAGGCAAAAAGCACGTGGCAGCACATTTGACATAAGTACAAGTAATGGTGCATTAAATTCATGGAACATGAATCCATTTTGTCAGCATGCAGGTGTCTTCTTAACGTACAGGCATATCTAGTTAAATAGTTAACATAAAACACATTAATCAATATGCTAACAGATCACATCCTCTAGCATGAAAAGCACAAGAAAATAGTGCATCAAAACCATGGGACAAGGAAATGTTTTGTTGCAGATCTAGTTTAACCCGTCGAAAGAAAAAAGTTAAATGAAACATCCTAAAACCGCCATGTGCACAAATATTAATAGGCCTGCAAATGCAGTCGAGTTAATAATGTTATGCTATGGAAATAATGATATAAAAACAAGAAAATAAGACCTGAACCATTGTACTCCTCAATAAGACCATTATGAATTTCATATGCCATTAAGTAACCTCTCTCCTCCAGCTATCAATTGGCAAATGCTCCACTTAAGATGAATTATCACCAATATATGAGATGGACAGGACAGTGATAACTTCAAACAAAGAGGTAAAGCACATGAAACAAACTTCATTAATAGATAAGATAGAATTGATGAAAGAACAAGTTCCTTGAGCTTAATCTTACCAAAGCAAACATGGGGAGAAAACTCTTAAATCTAAATAAACAAACAGGTAATAAGTTGTCTTAAATATAATTCCGATATGAAGAATACTACTGGCTATACAGAAGCCCTACCCCTCGACCAATCATAAACCTCAAGTCATTCATAACCAAGAGATAAATACGAGAAATGTTTTGACCAAAACCTAATAACATCAGCAGAAAAACCCCAAGACAACAGATCTCAGCACAAGGAATACAATCAACTACATCTTATCCAGCAATAACCATAAAATCGAGCAATAAATTCCATAAAAACCAAAACTTTCCCTAAGCACAAGAAAACAATAGAAACCTTAACCTAACGCCACCCAAAATCTAAACTTTAAGCAGCTAAGAGCACCAAAACCCTTCAAAGTCACTAACTTTGAGAACATAGCAACAAAATGGAGCAGAAATCACCACCAAAACAAGTAAAAGAGAGGATTTTTACCAAGGCGAGAAGGCGAAGAAGAGACTTTGCTGCAACCAAAACAGTATGAAGCACAGAAGATTCCACCATTGAGGTTAAAACCCTCTCGAAATCAGCAGCTCCATTGTTGCCAGCGCTTCTCAAAGCGATCTCCATCTCTAGAGCAAGAAGAAGGAAACGAGAAGAAACGAGGCGAAAACAATGCTCAGACCCCAGAGAAGTGAAATCCTAAGAGCGGCCAGAGACAGATTTATAGTACATTAATTGGTAGATTCTAGATAGAGATTATATAAGGAAACGGGAGGGCTCGCTAGGGTTTTTTCCAAGAGCTGAGCTAGGGTTTTGGGATTTGGGGTTTCTTAGAGTTAATTAATTAATATATTATTTTTTTGAAAAAACTTTTTGTTTAAAAAAAAAAAATTGCGTGGGCTATTGATGACAGGAGATGAGTTGGGGGGTGGGGGCTCTTCTTAGCGTGGGACCCACAAAGTTCATGAAAATAGCTAGAACGCTATTATTTTCGAGGGCAAATAGCACTTGAGTACCTCATAGTTTCATAGTTTATTATATACCCGTAGTTGGTCAGAACTGGCATAATAATACCTCAATTGTGAAAATTTGTATCCAAATGTTCTAATATAATATTCTGTTGTTAAGTTTAGAGCATTTACTATTAATAACTGTTAAATTACTATTAAGTCTACCCAAATGCTAATGTGAATATATCGTAATTCTATTTTAAAAATAGAATTAGGAAAGATTTAATAATAAATTCAACAAACTTAATAGACAGAAAGTCATAAGATTAGCATATAAATGTCATATATGAACTTTCGGATAAAAAATTTGACGTTTGCAAAATATTGGGTATTAATGTCGTAATTTTCTTCAACTCAGGATATATGAATGCATCAAAATACAACCGAAGGTATATAAGTGCTCAGAGGGTGAAACTATAAGGTGTTTAAGTGCCATTTAGCCTATTTTCAAAAGTAGGAATTGGAATCTGAATCTAAAGTAGCAAAATTGTCCAATGGAATAAATAAATAATAAATAGCAAAATTATGGAAAAAGATGCTTGCATTTTATGGCATATTACTTCTTCATGATTTTAAAACTAGTTTTTGAATATACAACGCACGGAGGAAAGAAAAAGGAAGAATTGATAAGAGAGAAAATGAAAAGTCAATAACTGATTATATGTAAGTGTCAGCAATTTTGCAGTCAACGACAACCACTATATTAGTATATAATAATATGGATAGATAGATAGATTTTTAAATTTCACACAAAAATCTTGAGTTTTGGTTCCCTTACTTTAGGGGTTGTTTGGTTGGTTTCACTAATTATAGGAAACTCATTTCCAATCATAGATATTGCTTTTCATGTGTTTTTAAAGGTTTTTTAAATTTTGTTTGGTTCATTACAAAATAGGGTTGGAAATAGATTTCCTCACATATCTATTGTTTGTTTCACAACTAAAAAAAAGAAAGCTAAGAATAGGAAACCTCACTTACCCATTAGCAAAAATAATTATTATTTAATGTTTTTTCATCCCAATTCCGAACTCAAAGCTAGGAAATGGGCATTTCTTGTTTTCTGAGTTGGCGTCTGGTTTCTCTAAAAAAATTCTTAAATCTTGTATTGCATCAAACTAAGGAATAGAAGATCTATTCGGACTTAGATCTCCCACTGTCATCTTGTCAGCCATGGAAACCTATTTCTCTTCATCATTTTTGCCAAACAAACAACGGTCATGAGAATTGTCTTCCTCATTAAGAAAAGAAAATTATTATATAATAAATCCCATGTGTTTTCTTGCGTAAGTTCTGTCATCATTGATCTCCATTAAACTAAGAGCTTTGCTACAGGGACCCAAAATATGGGACCAATAGGAAGGACAAGTGAGGTGTCCCCCTCCTATTGGATAATGAGTTGGCCATCATTAATGATGGTCAACTCATTATCCAATAGGAAGGGGACACCTCACTTGTCCCCCTTAGGGGCTGTTTGGTTCCCTGTTTTTGAGGGAAAGTCTATGTTGAAAGCCTGCCAAAAGTACCAAAAATGTCACTTTTTGGCAGGCTTTCAAGCAAAATCCTCTTTTTTAGAGGCGTTTTTGCTTAAAGCCTGTCAAAAAAGTGACACTTTGACAGGCTTTCAAGGAAATTTTTTTTTAACCAAACAGCCCCTTATTGGTCCCATATTTTAGGTCCTTGGGGAATTTTTCTTAAACTAAGAATCACATTCACAGTATGATGGTTGTCTTAAACTATTTCAAAGAATTTAATTAGCATATAATTATCTAATAAAGGAAATTGTATTTATCTCTTTTTTTTTTTGGATCAATGAGAAACTATATTTCATTTACCATTGAGGGTTAGCGCGTATCAGCTTCGATCAGTTTCACAACCGCGTTTTGATAATTTAGTATGTCTTCCTCTTCTTTCTTGAAATAGCTAGTGATTACTAATCACTTCTCTGATGATTCTTTTTAGTTGTGAGTAGAAGATGTCACGAAATGTTCTTTATTGAAATAACAAAGTGATTAGTTCTTCATTAGACGTCATAAACGAGAATTTGGATCCTCTCCACTACAAATAAAATAGTAAAGAGACCACTACTTTTAATCTCAATCGTTGATTACTTAGTAGACGGTTATGACATAATCTAAATCTAACACTCATCATAACCTCGTGTATTACACTCATTCCTTATTTACACTCAAAGAAAAAATCACAATCATCAACTAGATAATTAATGGTTGTGATTATGTAGTGATCCCCCCACTACTTTTTAGATAGCGGAGAGGATCTGAATCCCTATTACACCTTCCGCATATATGTTTGTGAAATATTTGGTTAACAGTGTTTAGGCACTCTCCGCGAATTATTCCATTCATATTCAGTAGAAATCTGGTTAATGCTTAGTAAATATTCGTTATTCTATTCTAATCTTGTAATGCAACCAAATATGGTACAATTAATGAATATACAACCTAGCGATAAATGTAACATTCAAAAATCAACAACTATTTATATAGGACTATATGTATAGTAAACCTTTGGTACACATAGAGACTATAATAAATAAAATTTATAAGACTAATATGTAAAACATAAACGAGTGGTTCATGTTCAATTTTGATCAAACATAAAACTGACACCCTCGTGTTCAATTTCTGAACAAGTACAGAAGAGGAAAGTGACGGGCACGAACAAAAGGTGATAGTAACAGAGATAAAACCAAGATGATTCAAAATATCCAAATTGTGAAAGATACTACGAAAACTTGATTCATGCAGATTTTTCTATATCTGATTAGTTAAATCCAAACAAGAAAGCAACCGAATTTGAAGATATAATTTACTTCCATTAATCAAAACTACTACAACAACAACAACAACAAAAACAAAACATTTATCCTAAGGGGCTGTTTGGTTCGTTTTTTAACTCGGTGGAAAAGTTTTACACCGCCTCCACATCAGATTTTTCATGGCCACGTAAGATATAAGTTTTCCGTCGGTTCTTTTTCCCATCTTTGGTTCACTAGGGTTGAAGAAGGAAAACTCGGTGAAAATCACCGCCACATCAGATTTTTCTCTCCCCCAATTCCTTCCTCAACCTCGTGAAATCGACGAAAACTGCAGCCACGTTGACTTTTTGCCATATAAACAAAAATTTTCTCTTTTTTCCATGCGAACCAAACACAAGAAATATAAATACATTGGTTTCTCACCATTTTTTTTTTTGCGAACCAAAGCGAAACAATCTATTTCTTGAAAAAGTTTGGAAAACTCAAAACTTATGTTTTTGTACATAGAAATGCATTCCCCTATATCTAGGAAACGAACCAAACAGCCCCTTGAGTTTGGGGTTTAGCCACATGAATCATATTTTTCCATTCCGTTCTATTATAGATCATCTTCTATATTATGCTAACCATAATTATATCATTCTTAATTACTTCCAACTAAGTCCTTCTAGGTGTACCTCTAGATCTCTTTGCTCCATTAATTACAATATCATCACTTCTTCCAACCAATGCAATAAAAAAACTACGTTTTACATGGTCATTTTACCTTAATCGATTATATCTTATTTCTTATCCTATTTTTTAGTGTTCATCTCAACATTCTTATTTTTGCTACATTCATTTTTTGCGCATGTTATTTTTTAATTGTCCAACATTCTGATCCATAAAGCTTTGTTGGGTTTAAACTATCCTATAGAATTTTCCCTCAAATCAAACAGGTATTCTACGATCACACAAGGCTCTCGAAGCACTCCTCTATTTTAACCATCCGATTCGATTGATAATAGCATCCCCAATCTCACCATCATGCCAAATGATTGATCCTAAATAACGAAATTAATTACTTTTAGATATTTCATGACCACCAATATGTAATATAGGCTCTTTTCTCCTTTACTTTTAATAAAAATGCATTCCATATATTCTATTTTTATTTTACTAATTTTAAAACATTTAGGTTCAAGAGCTTTACTCCTCTTTTCTACTTTAAAAGGTATACATGTTCTTATCTCTTCAACTAATACTTTATCATCATAAATTATTTTTATACATCAAATAGTTGATAAAAGCTTCAAAAGTATAATAGTAAACATAAATTAGTTTAATACATCAAAACATTGATAAAAACTATCCTAGTCTAGTGATGCAACCAAATATGATTCGATCAGTGAATATAGAAGATAAATGCAATATACTCGCCAGTCTAAACTTTTGATCTGCATAGAAAATGTAATGAATAAAATTTATAGGACTAACACGTAAAATATAAGTAAATAGTTTATTAAATAAACAAATCAAGTATAACCATATTAAATTAAATTCGTTTGTAAACCAGAACCTATTCGTCTAATGTTATACGTACTACCGCATCAAATATGACCAAGCACTTGAGCGAATATATATCAAACTAATTAAATCACAATATATCAGTGTACCCCTCACACTAATCAAGTATCACGAAGAAACATCAGAAAGTATCAAAAGTGCAAAAAATTTGGTCAAACATAAAAAGACACTCTTGCGTTCAAATTCTGAACACGTATGAAACACAGATAAAACTAAGATGCGAGAAAATATCCAAACTGTAAGCGCAAATACGAAAACTAGATCATGCAGTAATGGGAAAACAACACATACAATTTGAGGTGAGGAGGAAGAATACGAAGGCAATAATATCAAGCACATAATTTGATCACAATCTGCTACTCTGCGAAGTGATGTCTTCAAGCCTTCATAAACGGGCGCATAACAAAACTCAAGATCGTGCAGCAGAGAAAATGAGAAAGACTTGGGCACACAAACAACCAGGTCAAGTTCAGGG